AAAAAAAAAAAAAAGAAAGAAAGAAAGAAAAAGAAAAATGACAGGTACTGGAACACATATAACCCAAGTACTTAAAAACAGGAGAAACAGGGTGAGATTTAAATTAGTTAAATGTATATGCACTTGAGGGAGGTATATCAATCATCTAGGAAAGTAAACCAGGAGACTGGCAGTAAACATATGCTTGAAGAGCTTATGAATGCCCACTCCTGGCAAGGTGAATTGCAAACAGCTTTTGAAGGGTGGCCAAGAGCATAGTAGTAGTAGTAATGAGAAAGACATTTAGTAAATGATATAAGCCATTTTAGGTTCCGTAAACACAAAGATAAGTCTCAGCCCAGGAGCTCTTAGCCCTTTTCAGGCACCACATCATGGAGAGCATAGATATAGTTTCACAGAGGTGATACTTTCTCTAAAGCTACATCTCTTAGTACACAATCACATGCACTATTTTTCAAATGGGACAGTAGACACCTGTGACCTTCCATCCTGGGAATCACTAGTCTAGATTATAGAAAAAGAAGCTCAGGCTGGGTGTAGTGACTGTAATCCCATCACTTTGGGAGGCTGAGGTGGGTGGACGACCTGAGGTTGGGAGTTCGAGACCAGTCTGACCAACATGGACATGCCCTGTCTCTACTAAAAATTCAAAAAATTAGCCAGGTGTGGTGGTGTGCACCTGTAGTCCCAGCTACTTGGGAGGCTGAGGCAGGAGAATTGCTTGAAACCGGAAAATGGAAGTTGCAGTGAGCTGGGATCGCACTACTGCATTCCAGCCTGGCGACAGAGTGAGACTCTGTCTCCAAAAAAAAAAAGGGCAGCTCAAAGAATTGAAAATTTGAGGTGCTCATATAAGCTCTGCCTTGTCTGAAGATGGATGTGGCCACCAGTTGAATTTTTCTGCTCCGTAAAATGTATCCTGAGACAAGTTAATTCCAATTATAAAATGCAGACAATTAACTGCCCCTGTTCTGACTTCCAGGATTCACTAGGCAAACTTTCCATTACAACCCGGCTTCACATGCAGAAGTGCCTGCAGGAAAAACATGAGCTAGTCTAGCCAGAATGTGCTGGCTCTACAAGAACATGAGCTCCACTAGGAGCTTTGTTTTGTTTCTTGATATACCCCAAGCATCTGGAACAGTGTCAGACACATAAAAAGTGCTGAAAAAATATCTGACTGAAGGATTGAATAATATGAGCAACCTTACTCCTATGAAAGGACAGTCTTCATTTTTAATTAGTAACTGAGCATAATTTGAGTTTACTCTTGAAATTAAATTTGAATTTACAAAGCTCAAACCATGGCAAGTTCACTAGAGTGAATTTTTGTGAGGCCTCTTACCCTTTTTTTGTTTTTGTTTTTGAGACAGGGTCTGTCTCCTAGGCTGGTATGCAGTGGCATGATCATAGCTCACTGCAGCCTTGAACTCCTGGGCTCAAAGGATTCTCCTGCCTCAGTAGCTGGGACCACAGGCATGCACCACCATGTCTGGCTAATTTTTTAAACATTTTTTTGTAGGATCTTGCTATGTTGCCCAGGCTGGTCTTGAACTCCTGGCCTCAAGCAATCCTTCTGCCTCAACCTCCAAAGGTGTCAGGATTACAGGCGTAAGCTACCATGCCCAGCCCATCTTACCCCTTTAAAAAATCTAACAGATATACAACAGCACCTCCTATGTGCCAGATGCTGTTTCTAAGTATTTTATAAATGCTCACAACAATCCTATAACACAGGTACTATTACTACTCACGTTTTTTTTTTTTTTTTTGAGATGGAGTCTTGCTCTGTCGCCAGGCCGGAGTGCAGTGGCATGATCTCGGTTCACTGCAATCTCCAACTCCCTGGTTCAAACTATTCTTCTGTCTCAGCCTCCCGGGTAGCTGGGATTACAGGCACGTGCCACCACACCTAGCTAATTTTTTTGTATTTTTAGTAGAGACACATGTTGGCCAGGATGGTCTCTATCTCCTGACCTTTTGATTGTCTGCCTCAGCGTCCCAAAGTGCTGGGATTACAGGTGTGAGCCACGGCGCCTGGCCTGTTACTCACATCTAAAGATAAGGAAATTGCGGCACAGAGAGGTTAACCAACTCACCCAAGGTCAGCCAGTGAGTGGCAGAGTTAGAATTTGAACTTAGGCAAGTCTAGCTCCAGAGTACACACTCTCAACCTGTCCCATCAACCAGGGCATGTGCCCTCGTAACATCCTCATCTCACCAAACACTTTCCCTGGGAAATGTTAGTATCATGTACCTCAAATGTATTTTTTGTCACACCAGCAAGCCCGAAGTACATCATGCCTCCAGTTCTGGAGCTAACACAGATTTCTCCAATTTCATCTGTTTTGCAGAGCTGGGGAGGTCCATCTGGTTTCACAATACACATCATCCCTAATGTACAGAAAATATAGGTTAAGGGATAAAGATTCTAGAAAACCTTTGTAAAGTAACAACTCCATCCTGTGAACCCAAGAAAGTCTTGCCTTTACTGGGTGGCATTAAGTAAAAATATCAAACAGGAAGGCTAAACATAAACCTAAAACTACATAGGTATATTTGAAATGTAAAACTTGTATAGACAGTGACATATTAAAGATGAATGCAAGGCCCAAATTAACAGGTTAGATGAATGAGGTGTTACCTTTAGGCAGATCAAACTCAAACACTCATGGAAGCAATATGTTCTAATTTTCTGCTAGTCCCAATGGCTTGGCAATTACAGTGAAAACCAGGTAACTTTAACATCTCTCAGTATTTGGCCTTCCAGGTAAAGAAATGGACCTGAAGCATTCACAATTGATAAGTCTTACAATACCGCTGGAAGGTCGGCATAATTATAATGACTTAACTATTAGAGAGGCTCTGAGAAATTAAATGAGTTAAGTACTGAATTAAGGATTCCTGGTTTGGGATTCTGTATTTTATCAGGCTCTATTATCTCTGATGTCAATTTTTTATGAAAAACCATGGTGCTCCTCATGACTCACCACCAGGCATTACATGCCCCACATCCTGGACCGTCAGTGCTGAATTTTTATCTTCAGTATTGACCCGTATTACTCCATAGCTCAATCCATTCATTGAGAGAATGGCTCTTCCTGGCAAAGGGGCTCCTGGAACTCCAGGTCTGAAAAGAAAAACCCATCAAATTTGGTGAATGAAATAACATCAAGAGAAAAATACAAATACATAGGATAATAGATTTCCTCTGGCTACAATACCGAAAAAATTCTCCATTTTCTCTACCAAAAATATGCCAAATTAGAGCTAGGTGTGGTCACTGACACCTGCAATCTCAGCAACTGCTGAGGCAGGAGGATCGCTTGAGGCCAGGAGTTCAAGACCAGCCTGGGCAACACAGTGGGACCCCATCTCTACAAAAAATACAAAAAGTAGCCAGGTATGATGGTCCATGCTAGTAGTCCCAGCTACTTGGGAGGTTGGGTGGGAAAACCATTTGAGCTTGGGAGGTCAAGGCTACAATGAGCTATGATCACGCCATTGTGATCCAGCCTGGGTAACAGATCAAGACTCCATCTCTAAAAAATTAAATTTAAAAAAGTGTAGTATAGTAAACACATAAACCAGCAATATGATCATTTATTATAATCGTCAAGTATTACATACTGGGCCAGGCTCAGTGGCTCATGCCTGCAATCCCAGCACTTTGGGAGGCCAAAGAAGGAGGATTGCTCAAAGCCAGTAATTTGAGACCAGCCTGGGCAACATAGCAAGAATCTATCTCTACAAAATAATTTAAAAATTAGCCAGGTGTGGTGGTGCACACCTGTAGTCCTAGCTACTCAGGAAGTTGAGGCAGGAGGACTGCTTGAGACCAGGAGGTTGAGGCTGCAGTGAGCCATGATCACTCCACCCTGGGTGAGAGAGACCCTATCTTTAAAAAAAAAAAAAAGTATATGTGTATATGTATATTATACAAACACACACACACACACACACACACTCTCTCTCTCTCTCTCTCTCTCTCTCTCTCTTATACTTACATATATAGTGGTCCTGAGTATACTATAGATATACTATCCATACTTAAGCTACAATCAGGAACAGACTATCTGTAGTCTAGGGTGCTATGGATTCCGAAGAACAAAATAGCAGAGAAAAATAGCTAATTCACAAATATGAAATGATATCAATTAAATTTTTCAGTTTACTGCATATACTTTGATCAAGAGTGGGAAAAATGAAATGCTTGAAACTACTTAGAAAATTAGTTAACACCCTTTGTCATCACCCGGTAAATACTGTACATTTCATCCAAGTTGTAACATACATCAAGAGCATCTGACATCCGGAACAGTACCTGCGGATTGCTACAGTCATGGCTTCAGCAGACGTGGCACACGGACAGATGGCCTCAGGCTTCAGTCCATGGCTTTGGAACAGGCTCAGAAAGGCATCACAGGATGACACAGACCCTAAGGAGTTGGAACAGATCAACCTGAAGCTGAAATTTTCATTTTCATTACTGCAGGATAACGGTAAAGAGCAGAAAGCTGACATACTTATTTCTCATGAGAACTCACATTGTATATTGTTAATTCCACACAAATATTTTACTGTCCCTGTGAGATGGTTTGATACATTTCAAGGGCAAATTAATGCTCATCCAGCCCAGAAAAGGTCACTGACACTATTTAAAGTTACAACTTGGTATAAGGCTGTTCCTACCAAACTGACAAATCAGTATCAGAGATAACACTGCCAGCAATATGCAGTCAATTTATAATGCAGCAACTCTTCCTGAGGTACTATCACAGCCAGTGCAATTTAATATTGGCTTAGCTCTACCTTCTCTGTGTTATTAAGGTCAATCCCATGTCTGTGTTTTAAACTATGATGATCAATATAACTACTGACAAAAGTCCATTTATATCAAAGTACTCTACCTGATCCTACCATGTGAAGGATCAGGATTTGGGGGCTTGTAGGTAAAAGCAGGTAACACAGTAAGATCTCTCAAAGTTTTTCCAAACTCCTTTGATTTGCTGCTAAGGGGAATTTACATAAAGTCCAAACACTTTGTTACATGGAGTCACCTTCATACTGCTCCTTTTAGCCAAGGAATACCGAGTTCCATGGCAGAAACAGGCCATACATGAGTGAGCAAGAATGAATGGCTTAAAAGCTTATAGATTCATCAAAAGATGAATAAATAAATACAATGTGGTATAACTATACAATGGACTATTTCTTGGTAATAACAAGGAATGCAAAAGTACTGACAGATACTACAACATGGATGAACCTTGAAATATGCTAAGTGAAAGAAGCCTGTCACAAAGACCACACACTATATGACTGCATTTATAAGAAATGTCCAGAACAGGCAAATCTAGAGAGACAGGCAGCAGATTAGCGGTTGTCTAGGGATGGGGGCAGGGGGAAAAATGGGGAGTGACTGATAATGGGTACATAGTTTGTTTTTGGGTGATGAAAATGTTCTAAACTTAGATTTTAATAGTGGTTGTACAACTCGTGAATATACCAAAACCACTGAATTGCACACCTTAAATGAGTGCGTTTTTCAGTATGTGAATTACATCTTAGTACAGATATTTAAAAAAAAAAAAAAAAAAGCTATCAAAAGAGGGCAAAAAAACCTAATCTATGAAAACACAGGATATTCCCAGACCCACAATGCAGAAATACTCACAGGGGTTAGCTCCATCAGTCACAATTAACATTCGGAGGGAACTCAAGCTCACATCTCTTTGGTCCCGATGTGCCATCATAGCCCAGTGCAAGTCTCGACATTTTACTAAAGCTACCTTGGCTAAAAATTCAAAAGGGACGAAGTTAACATACACGAAAAATTTGGTACATATATAATATGCCATAATAAAGACTTTTTTTTTTTAAATTTGGGGAATCATGATTTTTGCTAGGAGAAAATAAAAAAAGGCTACAAAGAGATTGTGCCAATAGCTGAGAGGCAGAAAGTATCACATTTAGACAACTGACGGGACCTGCAATTGTTGGTTCACTGAGACCCTCTAGGCAGGCCACGGTATCCCAGCCAAGGAAACTGTGAACTCCGAGACACTTAAATCTAATTCAAGGCTCACATTGTCTCTTGAGATGAAACAGGCAAGGTACCTAATTCTGTAGTAACTAAACTCTATTTGTTAAGGAAAAGGGGCACAGAAATGTTTCTAATAAGGGCAATTTGAAAATCTCTGAAATCTTAATTCAAACAGTCATATAATTAAAGCTTAGATGCTGTTGGTGACTACCTTTGTGAGCATGTACTCTTTGGACCCAAGAGAGAGGACAGGTTTTCATGACAGAGTAGGGTACACTAACGGTGTGCATCTTATTCATTACATTCTGAAAATAAAGAAAGAAGAAAAGTAATTAATACAAAATACGAACTTAGTATTTTAAAACTGAGCTGATATTTTGTTAGCAAGTAATAGTCAAATACATGCTCTTTGAAAACAATCTTAAATATTAAATATAAGATTGACGTTTCTTTAATACATACCCTTCAACCTGGTTCCCTCCCCTCCTCACCACAGATAATTAGTTACAAATTTGATACATATCCTTCCAATCTTTTTTCTTTTCTCTTTTTTTTTGAGATGGAGTCTCACTGCGTCTTGCAACCTGGAGTACAGTGGCGAGATCTTGGCTCATTGCAACCTCTGCCTCCCGGGCTCAAATGATCCTCCTGCCTCAGCCTCCCAAACAGCTGGGATTACAGGCACATGCCACCACGCCCGGCTAATTTATGTGTTTTTTGCAGAGACAGGGTTTCAGCATGTTGGCCAGGCTGGTCTCAAACTCCTGACCTCAGATGATCCACCCGCCTCGGCCTCCCAAAGTGCTGGGATTACAGGCGTGAGCCACTGTGCCTGGACTCCAATGTTTTTTCAATGTATTTTTATACATATTTGTTCCCATAGAAATATATACATATTTAAAAAAATAAAAAAAACCAAAAAAATAAATATATACATATTTTTAACATAAAAGGTATCATATTACATATATATCTGTAACTTGCTTTTTTGTTTGTTTGTTTGTTTGTTTTTTTTGAGATGGAGTTTCGCTCTTGTTACCCAGGCTGGAGTGCAATGGTGCGATCTCGGCTCACCGCAACCTCCGCCTCCTGGGTTCAGGCAATTCTCCTGCCTCAGCCTCCTGAGTAGCCGGGACTACAGGCACGTGCCACCATGC